ACAGAGCCTGACACACAATTCGTGATTATTAAACATCCTCTAGCTCCAAAAATGAATGACACACCCAGAATAGGAACAGGCCACATAAATACTCAAACCCTAAGTATATGCAGCCAAGTCAAAAATAGGGGCAAGCAGTTCTAGGCGAGCTCGCTTATAAGCCACCAGGACACTAAGTCAAGCTGTGGGAAATACTACCTAATGGGAAACCTTACACTGGCCAATCTCAGAACCAACTTGAGTCACTGCATGTGTCTGTGGTCTCTGCATGGACATCTCAGAGCCAGGAATCACTTCTCATGTTACAACAAGGAGTGCCAAAGAGACAGTGGATCCACAGATGCTTCAAATCAGATCCCCACAAGGGGTAAGGTAGCAGAGGGTGAGGAGGGAGGTTTCAGAGTCTTCCTGGGACACAGGAAGGGGAGGGGCCGCAGTCCTACACCCAAGTTTCACCCTCCACGAGGGCCGGCTTTGCAAAGCATTGGAGGCCATCTCTCTTCGCACCCCAAGCCTCTTTCCAACACTCAAACCTTTCTGACACCCCCAAAACTGCCTCTGAGGATGCAAGGCCTGGCCAGGTCATCTCATTAGTTCATGAGTTAGGTTATTGTGGGTTAATTTAAACTTATTATGATCATCAGGTATATCTCATAAACACTTGATTAGTTAACACATCAAATTGAAATGAAAACTTCAATTAAACCGAAATTCACTACTACCATTTAGGATCTTTAAAAAAAAAAAAAAAAAACCTAAAAACAGAAAGTATGGGAGAGAGAAAAAGGGAAGGCACTGTCTCTCAGAAGGGTCTCCTATACGGCAAACTTCTAATTAAACAAATTGTCAATTTCAACACAATGAAAACTGATTTAGGGGTATAAATTTAGTATTCTAGTCACTGAAAATAAGACCTGCAGTGTCGATCTCCTACAGGCTGATTCTATCTGACAGGGAAATGAGGAGGAGAGGAGGAAGACAGCGAGAGAAAGGAGGAAAAAAGGCAAAGGAAGAACAAGCCGGAGTGCTGTCTTCCTTTCAGAAATGACATCTCTGCTGAATTTAATGCAGCCTATTCTCAAGCATCAGAGAAACTCTTTTCTTGCCTCCTCCTTCACCCCACCCCAACCAGATTAGAAAAAAAAAAATTAATCGTGTATGATGACAAACTTGGCTCAGCACTCACTGTACATACTGTACCCACAAGTCTGGCTCCCAGCCAGGCCTGGCCTGGAGCCAGAACTACAATAACAAACACAGGCGATGCTAGCCAAGAGGGGGTGGGGCAGCACGCAGAGCTAGCCAGGAAGTTAGCGCTGTTCAGCTCCACTGAGCAGAAGAAAACAGCAGGAATGTGCCAGTGCACGGGCGGCAGCATCTGGGGGCAACCACGACCCCCACCCAGATCCTGGACTCTCTCCTCCATAGTCTGCCCCTTTGGAAAAAAAAAAAACATGCCCCCCAGGGTTCTGGAGCAACTACTGTTCTTCCAGGCTGTAGAGTGTTTCAATCCTTGTCATCATCTGTAAAATGGGTCCACTCTACAGACCTGGTGCACCCATTCTCACTGTCAGCTTTCTTCATGGAGCCTTCACAATAGAGCAGCAGGAAAACCTCTCATGATCTAATTCAATATCTCTTCTAGAACATCACCTAGCTCTGTTTTCAGGCATCTGGCAGTAGGCATCAGAACATGTAAACCACTACTGGAATCTGTAAGCAGACCCAGCGCTACCAGCCCAGCCCTCTGACCCCAACTCCCTCAACAAGGCCAGGTCACTCCAGAGGCCCCCAGGGCCTGTTTAACAGGGGCCAAACAATCCAGGAAGTGGTCTAGCCTCACGAAGCCCCTTGCGCTATTTTATTTTTAAGACCTCTCAGCACGAGGGTGAGGAGTATGCCGAACAGAAAAAAAAAAGAATAGAAATATCAGACTGCAGGTCGTGAGCTATCTGCAAGGGTGGATTAAAACACTACTATGACTCATCACACCTGCCTAATCATCAAATCATTCTTTCCAAGGGCACTGGCAAGTGACTAGCAGAGGGACACATCATTTGACACAATCAGCCTTCAGTGCCCAGATAAGACAGGCATAGAAAGGAAAAACTAGGAAAACAGGACCCAACTCCCAAAGCCTCTGGAGCAGCCATATGAGATCAGGGGACATGGAAGCGGCATCTCAGGTGGGACCAAAGTCAGCTTCCCCAGGGAACTGCCAGCTCCAGACGGGGGTTGCGCAAAGTCACACTCTTGTCTGAACTGGGGACGCCAGGCCCACCTGGCATGAGTGTGCAAGCGGTCCTTTTCCCCTCTGCAGCTGCTCCCACCGGCCCCACCAATGCTGCTGATGTGTGATTCACAGCAGAGACAGTGGCTAACTCACACTTGGTCACACTGCCTGGAAGAGGGATACTATATGAGCCAGGGGGCTCCTGGCTGACTCCTTGCCCTCCCCCCACTGCCCCGCACAGTAAGTCCTTGGGACATAAATAGTCCCTACCACAGGAAGGCCTCGTCTGGAGAGTGGAGTTTCCTAGAGTCGTTCATCCGCCTCCCAGGCTGCATCATTCACTCAGCAAATACTTGTTGGCTCCAATAATGTGCCAGGCAGTGTGCTGGACCTGATGGGGACAAGATCTGCCCCATTACATGTGAGGCACGGTGGTATGTATCCAAGGTGAGCCTCACAGCTTCTCTAAGATAGTGTTAAATATTTTCATTGTACAAATGAGGTTACTGAGGCTGTAAGAGCTTATAGTTCTTACCCCAGATCACATCAGCAGTAGGTAGGTGTCCAAGTTCCTTCCACTATGTAACCTCGCCTCTCCAGTAGGGGAGATAAGGCAAGTCCATAAATAACCATAACACAGAAGACACATTGCACACAACGATAGCTTCAAATAAATAAATACGGGCACAGAGAAGGCACAATTGCTTCTGGCTGGAGGTGGGGAACAGCTGGGGTTGGCATCATGGGAGGGACCTTGGAAGATCTAGGAATATGGAAGATAGGTTATTCCAAGTAGACAAAATGGGGTGAGCAAAGCCACAGAACTCAGAAAGCAACAAGCCCATAAAGCAAACCAAGATGAGTCTGGCCAGAACCCTGGACTCAGAGAAAGAGCAATAAGAAAAGATACTTACTGGGGCTGAGAGGGCAAGGAGGCTTCACCAACAGGCTAGAAGTGCACTGCCCCAAAAGTGCCCAGCACCACCCAGGGGTCTAGGGCAGGAAGCAAAACAAGTGGTAGCCTCACACTTTGCAGTAAGGCAGTGGTGAGCTAAAGCAGGAAAGAATGAAGACCAAGAAAGTAAGAGAGGGGGAGCCAACCTGGTGGGCAGACAGTTCATGCAACCTGCCACACCCTGAACCTTCAATAGCATACAAAGTTGAAGGGAAGCACAAAGATACAAGGTGTAAGTCATTAAAACAGAAGAAAACATGTACATGAGTGCCAAGCAGATGCAGATGCAGAAATGCCTGGACTCGGGGTGCTGGACCAAGGTGAGACAAGGGGGCAGGAGGAGGATGACTGGGTGGAGGCAGAGGCAGGGTGAGGAGGGCCCCCAGGAAGGAGGACCAGAATGCACGAAGACATGGGGACAGCAGACACGCCAAGACAGGCAGCTGCCAGCTGCCAGGTGTGGATAGATCCCTGTGCCTGGAAAAGAGAAGAATGGGAAATGAGAAGGAGTTAGGACACTTTAGGAAGGGCCATGAGGGCCAGGGAGAGAGACCACAGTGCAGAACCACGTGGGCCCTGCAGCAAGGCAGTGGTGAGCTGAAGCAGAAAAAAGGCGGCCAAGGAGCACTTCCATGACTGTACTGGTGATGGGCTCGGGGGGAAAGAGGGTGCAAACACCCAGGCAGGCAGGGAATGGGCGGAGGAGGACACACCCTCAGGGCAACAGGCTCAGAAACAAGGATGAGGGAGGAAGGTGCAAGCAGAAACCACTGACATTTATTAAACGCCAACTGTAGGTCAGGGGCTTACTACAGATGCCTTCAACATATATTCTATCACCTAATCCTCCAAAAAAATTATATAAGTTAACAACACCGCACTTGACAGATGCAGAAACTGAGGTCCAGAACATGAATGTAGCTAAGGTCAGAGAGCACATATCACAAACAGGATTTGAAGCTTTGTCTGCCCAACCCCAAAGCCCATTTCACAAACACCAAACTGCCTGGAGGGCCCGTTTCTGGAGCCAATATGGGGAAAGGAGAGGCAGGCCTTGGCCTACATGAGAAGAAACCAAAACCAAATGAAAGAACAGCCCTCTTCCTCTCCCCTGAAAAATGACTCCAAGGTTGACAGGCAAGGGAATATAAGGGAAGAGAATATGCGACTGGCAAAGGAGAGTTGAGGCCTCTACAGCTAAAGTCAGGTGACCTAAGCCTCAATGCCATCAGACCTGCTACCTTCCCTCCACCAAGAACACCCGGGCATGCCAAATGCCAGCTGCTTCTCCCCATTCCACACCTCGTGGGGCAGAGCAACTTTGCCCAAACCTGAGCAAAATTACCAGCAGTCACACAGCCGACCTCGCTAGAATTGGATGAAATTAACTTGCAAAAGACAGCACGCTATAACTAGCTTTGTGTTCCAACCTTTCTATACCTATTTAATTAAAGGCTCCTGTATAATGTGAACCCAATCGTCAGATTCATTAGATGGTGAGAACCTAATTCCGCAACTGTTTCGCTAATGAAACTGCAGTCTACTTTGGAAGGTGGATCACATGGGGCACCAGTTGCCAGTGAGGCCTGGGAAACCCATAAGAGCTTGAAGGTGGGTTCATCCGGGGTGGCCCCGCCACCAGGATGGATCTTCTGTGTCAGGAGCCTGGAGGGAGAGTCCAGGGAACAAGATGGACCAGGGCCCCAGCTGGCAGTGGGGACGTGCAGGCCACAGCAGGCTCTGAGTAGGGGTGAAGGCAGACAGGAGGTGGTTGCCTGTACCTGAAAGGGCCACTGAGGTGACCCTGCCTACCTGAATGAGCCAGTAAGTGCATTCTCAGCCGCAAACTATCCAGGAACCGCTTCCCGCAGAGCTCACACCCGTACGTCTTCATCCCACTGTGCAGCTTCCTGTAAGGGAAAGGAAAAGAGAGGTTGCTGCTGCTCTGGCTGGAAAGGAGGCAGGGCCATCTCCTACCTGGGTGCTTGGCAACCATCCCTCTGGCAGGTGACAGGTGAAAGGGAGCAGGAGGGCATCAATGGAAACATATCCTTGGATCCCCAGACAGTATAAATCTCGCCCTCTGCCCAGGGACTGCTGCCCATGAAGGACCCATTCTTGGTCTTGTCCACAGGCTTTACCACTGGTGCATGGACCAAGAAAATAAATCAGATCCAATTCCAGAAGGAGGAAGGATGAAACACCCAGGACAGTCAGGCAGGCATAATGCTCACTGTCAAACTAGCACAGACCTCATAGGAGGCCCCGAGCCTCTGCTCACCTCTGTACAGCACTGCCGTCCCCGGGTGGAGGCTGCGCACAAGCCTGCTGGACCCAGGAGGGCCACACCTGTATCTTTTCTCTCTCCTAGCTCCAACTCCCATTACAGTGACTGGCATGCAGCAGGCTCTGAATAAGCCTATGAATAAACTGATAGCCTTGTAGACGCAAGATGCTTCTTTCTCTGGCATCCAGATGTTCTTAGGACTGCAGTGACCCACCCCAACATGCACACCTTTCCCCTAAGGCCTGGCTTCACAAGTGTCTTTTCTCGTCTTGCCCCAGCAGAAAGCAGAGTTTCAAGAAACCGGATAACATCATTCTATAAATGTAGGGTGGTCATAGTCACCTGTGGCTCTTCATACACATTCTCTCGTTTTGCCACCACTATGATTCTGTGAGGTGGGCTGGGACCATGTTATCACCCCGGGGAAGACCGAGGTTCCAGTAACAACTGGTCACAGGCCCAACCTGCAGCAGTGCTCCCATCCCAACTTCCAACACGGGGCCTCTCCCGCCAGACCCCTGGCTCAGTCATGAGCCAGCTTGGGAGCTGGTAAGAGGCAGGGAGCCAAGCACTGGGGAGAGGCTCCAAGCTGCCGCCCACCCACACTCCTGTTGTCAAGCCCATACATGCTATTGCTGGATCCAGGATCCAGCCTCCACCTCCGCCCCAGTCCCCGCGCCATCCCTGCAACCTCCCCAGGGGCCTTGGCCCTCAGGACAGGGCAGGCATGGCAGCCAGAAGCAGGATCTGTGGGAAGTGGAGCAGGCAGAAGGGAAAACAAGGCCTTCTATCTGCATCAGAATGCTGACGTGTTAAGACCATAGCAAAAGGGTGGAGAGCTGGTACTGATCACAGATAAAACTGCAGGTGGGGAGAGGGAGTATTACACACTCAAGCTGGCAGCATCTAGATGGTGGCAAAACCAAGCCACCCACTGCCACCACCGTCCAAGTCCCAGAATGAGAACCCAGCAGTGTGTCAAGACCATGTGGGGCACCCAGGTGAGCCTCCTTAGTGCCAGTTGATGGGCTCCCACAGCATGAGGACCAGCATTCGGTGTCGACTGTACGCAGCCTTCTGATAGGGATCACACACAGTTCTCTCGGCAAAGCTCTTTCTCAATCACTTTGTTTTGTTTGCTTGCTTTCCCTTTCCCCACTTGCCAAAGACAAACGATTTCTCAATCATAAAACACACACACACACACACACACACACACACACACACACACCCTTATCTATGACACTGTAAGGGTACCCTCCCCGTGATGTTCTCTTGCTCCCTGCCATGCTGATCCACCCAAATTGAGAAATATTAACAGTACAAAACATTTTAACTGAACATTCTTAACTCTAAATATATTTCACAATGTTGGGCACTGGGACATGTCCTAATAGCATTTTGGACGAAGTATCTTTTAAACTACGTACCTAGGTATGTGAACACATGCAAACACACACGATAGTGGAGTATTCCTGTCACTTGCCTGGGGATGAGAGATACTTGCTTTTCTAAGAGACGTTCTATAGAGTGGCAAAGGCTCTATTCACAAGGGGTTCAGCAGGTGAACTTCTCACACACAATCACAGTAAAGTCTGGTGGATAGCAACATAGGGTTTCAGTTGATTTTCATCCTTTTCTTCACAGGGGATTTGTTAGCTCCCGGTGTGCCCACTTCTCAGGGGTGGCTGTCAAGAGGGACAGGAGGATGAACACCCATTTGGATTTGTTTTCCAAAAGGGCATTAGAGCGACTGGTCTTCAGAGGTGGGAGCCACCACCAGGCTAAACTCCCATCTGGCGCTCCCATCTCTTCTCCCTGAGGGTTCTAGATGAAATCCCTCACCATGATAAGCACTCCTCGTTTGGGTAACACCCTTGCCTTTTCTCTAGGTATGAATGGATTTGCCTGGCATTGGTGGAAGTGGCTTATCTTGGCCAACTGGATCGGCTTGGTGTGAAAGGTGACAGGCACTTGCCCTTAGGTGGCAGGGTACAGAGAAGAACGCTCAGCCAGCAACCAGACGACCTACATCCTCCACCTAACTCGGCCATTAGCCTTGGACAAGTCATGCTATCACAATTTCTCTGCATATCATCACCTATAAAGTGATGTAGATCATATCTAATATTTACAATAGAGACAAAATTATCATCCCAAAGTCTTACCCATATCCTTTTACCTGGCCTCTAAGGCAGTCCTCTAAGGGGCACTGTTATTCTCCCTGAGCCACGTCCCACTCATTACTGGGCACTGTGAGGTCCTCTGACACTGAGGCAGCCAGGCTAGGATCGCCCAAGCAAACTTCCAGACCCAATCCCAGCAATCTAGTTATTTAAAACCTAATCCAAGTGGCCTGAGTTTTCTCCGTTTCTCACTTGCTATTTATCTTTCAATGAAAGAAATTTCCAGAAATTATCAACAGCCTATCCTCGGAATGGCTCTGTTGTTGTGCATTTCTCCACCTTCAGAGACCCTATCCTGGCTATTCCTTGGGGTAAGGTCACTGCCTTGCAACTGACCCACCAACTCAGTGCCCCACACAGGTTACCAGAGATGAATATGGTGTCCATGTGATTCCACATGAACTACAAGGGCAAGGTCTTCCCTCTCTGGCAGAGAGACCTGGGCAAAGCACACAAAGTTCATTAGAGAAAAAGTCCTGGGAGTTCAACAGAGCCCGGCACTGGTTTGCTCACATCTCTAATTCTTGTTCATATACCAAGGAAGAATGTGGAAAAGTGAAGGCTTCTCCTAATTCAAAGAAAATAATGGTGGAGAGTTTCAGTGCAGACCTGGCTTCAGAGAGACCGGGCTACTGGCAGACTCTCCATGGCACAGTCTGCAGAACAGCCAATGTGGAAATAGAATTCCAACCGGTTCCCGGAGCAAAAGTGCAACTTCGTGTGAACTCACAGTCTATTCCCTCTTTAGACCACAACCTCCCACCACCACCATCACCACATTATGCAACTGCAAAGCATTTAGATCAAAATGGAAATTCTGTCCACCTCCTTCTTCCTTACCACACACACTCACATCTTCCCAATCCAGTACTATCTTTTCATAAGGTCTAATTGCACGTGGCCATCTGAGATTGTCAGCCTCCACTGTGACAGGAAAGGAAGACATCTGGGGACATTTTTGTACCTTTCTGTACACTGCTTTAGTTGGTGGTAGAGTTTTCACACTCTCCTCTGAGGAGAAGCCACCTTGCTGAACACTGTTTTGAAAGTAACCCAGTTCTAGTATGTCCCGTGCATCTCCATCCTATACTCAGTGGAGAATCCATTGCCCTCTATGCTTCAGGTCCTCATTCTCCACTCCTGGGGAACAGACTCAAGTTCTCCACAACTCTTAGTGGCTCATTAGGTAAACTCACCTTGCATGTAACAGATTTTTACTTATGTCCAAAAAGACAAAGAACACATTAACCTCTAACAAGTTTCTATTTTCTCAAGAAAGCTGAATCATGATGAGAAATTCAAGCTAAACAAAACTGAACCTTTTAACAAGTAACTGAAGAGTTCATTCTTTCGCACTGGTTTTCAACCACACAACTCTCACTAGTAAAACCAAGCTAGCAAGATACAAGCTCATCGTTTGAACCATTTCTGTGCTACTGAGAGTCTGAAAACTCATAAAGATTTCATCTGGTTTTAGAGTGCAAATCCCATAATGGCAGAGACCAGGCCTATACTTCCTTTCTTCATAAGGCTTCATTGAAAAGGGACTGGTCAAGGATGCTGTAGAAATCCCTGTGTAAATTGGCATCTATGGCATTCCTTTGCTCATCCTAACAATATTCCAAGTACAACAACTTACTGGTGGCTTCCAATTCAGAACTGGACCCTGTCCTGTGGCTCCTAAAGTCCACACAAGGAAGACTAATGGCTACTGCATAGAGGCATGAAGCCTTAGCTTTAGACCAACCTGTCATCTTCAGGATAAGCCTTTATCAACCTAGAATAAATGGTAGCAAGGACAGACCCAAGCCATACTCCACCCTCCTTACCCTCAGCTTCCAGGGAGAGCTGACCACAACAGCTGAGCCCTAAGAGGGCATCCACCACGTCTACTCTCTGCAGGGTAAGCTCAGTCCGCTTCCATGCCATACAGCCAGGGACCAAGGGAAGAAGGCTACAAGAAGAACCCATTGCACTAGCAGGTGTCCAGGGGAAAAGCCCAGCACCCCTGGCTGGCTGAGAGAGAGGGGTTCACGTCTGAGCACTGCCAATGCCACATTTCTTCCCAGGTTCCTGAGCCCAGGGAAAAAGGCTCAAGCTGGAGCACACCAATAGGCAGGGAAGGTTTAGAGAGAGAATCCTCAGTTCCAATAATTCAAGGGTTGAAATTGTCTGACCTGTGAGTTTTGCTGAACAGACTCCCACAGGGAACTAGGACCTGTGATTGGGAAAAATGAATGGGAGGGTTCCACAGCTGGAATACCCACTGCTCTCTCCCACCTTTGAATGAGGAAAAATAAAGTGGGAAATCTATCCTGTAAGGGCATTTATAAGATAATGTTGTCCTTGTTTTCAGCCAAACTGATTCATCCTCTGAAACAACACTTGGACCGGATCAATGCAGTACATAAGTACATAGGTACTTTCAACTCACCCT